TTCAACTAGACGGTTTGTCAAATTTCATCTAAAGAGTGTTAACGCTTGTCTTTAGAACAACATTTCCCTTCAAGCGTATCAACCATACTCGGTCCAAAATGATTTTTTAAGCCTCACACCAAGGTTTCCAACACCCCCTCAAACGGATATTTTCAAGTGCAACAGCTATTGAATATTTCAATGTGATCATGAGCTCACCACTCTTCCAAAAGTCTACTCATCCAAGAGTTACATCTACCCTCTATTCCACCTTAAGAATCACGCCTTACTTCTTCATGAGTCTCTCGCTCTTAGTTCTAAGGGTCCAAGTAGCTCTCCACCTTTACCCATGGGGGCAGTCCATTAAAAGTTGATTCATATCTGTATTTATATTTTGAGTATTACAATGTCATTACCAAGCTCACCACTTTGACAAGAGTTAACTTGTTTAAAAAACCTACACATACCCTCTGTTTTTACATAGCAGTCATGTCTTAATGCTCCACAAGTCATCTACTTATTGTCCAAGGTAAAAATCTTCTAACTCATTGATCTTTAGCATAGGGGCAATATTCATCAAAGTCAATTTGGCATTTTCTCCATATTTATCTTAGCCACTTTATTGGTTATACACTTCTCCACTCATATCTAACCACTACATCGGCTCTAGGGCATTTTATAATTGGGCTCTTATCATAAACCTCATATTTTCTATAACGGTCTAAACTTAGGCTTATATTGTGGCTTTCACATCTTCTGTCTGAGGTGTCTCCACTTATTATCATGCGACGATCTCATACTCCTTCATCAAGGATGACTCTAGTGCCTCTAAGATTCTCTGCTACCATATGAAATTTAGAGAGATCATTACCACTAATCACATATAAAGAAAGAGTTGGGACACACTCTTTAAAATCCTTCATCTTGATTTTTATATTTGGAGCTTCTATATCTTTCATGCTTGATAGCTTCACCTACACCAACTCTTTTTTGGTGCCTTCACCTTTCATAGACGATCACCTTTTATCATAGGTATTTGCACCCCCTCAATTAGATGTCTCTATAATAGCTCATCTTGCCATCATGGTATACATTAGAAAGGTCTTCGTTTGTTGCCTTTATTAAAAGCACGAGAGATTTCCTATTATACAACTTTTTACACAGTCTTTACTTTGAGCTTTATCTAGGAACTCTTCTTCTCTTTGCACATGTTACTCATTATAGTACCTCATTGGATCCAATAGGTACTTCTACACAATCTCCGTGTGCCCTCATGTAATTTATGTTTTATTGATTTCTCTCTATTCTTTGCTTTTATATTTGACAGCAGCTCATTCTGTCATAACACCTATCCAAGTTAAAACAGGGTGTCAATCTTTATCCTCTTGTTGTATTTTTCTCTTATTATCAGGATCTTTATCAATTCTCCCCTCAAGAAATTACAGTCATTAAATCTAACTTCTTTTAAGAAATCACCCTCCATCAGATCTTTCAACATATAGAACATAACTGTTTCTTTAAGTCGTCATCCTACTAGTCTTTAATAGTTTCATTACAAACTATTACATATATAAAAATAGTACCATATGGATAATCTTTCAACTAAGCAAGTTCCTAGAAAAGATTGAAGGGGTTACACCGGTCCCGTTTAAAACTAAATCTTCCTAGAGAGAACTTCTTAGGCCATATCTATCCATCATACTGTCTTTCCTTATATACAACTATTTGCTAGCTTTATTGCAGCTTTCATTTGTAAATGAGCTGTGGTATCCTGGTTTTATACTTGATTTCTCAACATCAAGTCAGATAATCAGTGCTTAGATTTATTAAGATTAGTCTTCATCAATTTCCATTATTTACCTCAAAGCATCCACATAATCGGGTGTCTAGAGTGTCTCAATTTTTCTTTTCTCAAGGCAACTAAAACATCTCCCTACTTAGCAATTCATCATATATAATTGGGTAAACATGTGTAATTTATTCTTCTTCATCTACATCAACCACTATAATGATCTTCAGATGCCTTCTGATCGGGAAATCTCTTCTAATAATTCACCACCATCACATTCAGTTTAAATCTCAATGATCGGACCATACCATTACATCCAAAAAGATTAAATTAGCTAGAAACAAGTTTGAAATCGTCTAAATCGCATTTCAGACAGCTAAGATTTCATCAAAATAATTCTAGCTTGATGAGCAGCCTAGATTCAAGCTTAAATTCGGTTACATGTAGGATCAACCACACTACATTTTATCCTTTTGCTAGCGGCTCGACTCTAACTCGGGTTGGCTTAACTCAGCTCGGCTCAGGCTAATGATTTGGTAAGTAGGTCTCATAGTGTTGACGTGTCAACTGACATGGCATACCAATTATGCATGTGATGTCATGATTACATTATGATGATATTATCCTTATCTAGGTCAGTCATGTGGGTTGGATCATTTGTTATTCGAGTCGGGTTAACCCATCCGGGCGAAAAAGAGGCGTGGCGTCGTGTGGGGCACATCGACGCACATGGGTAGTCTCCTCGCCGGCACGTGTGAGCGCGTGTGTCTATGTCCAACAATAGAATTTTTTTTTTCACTAATGTGCTTGTCTCTTCCTCCTCTATACAATAATATAGTCAAAATAGAATTTTGACAACTTTTATTTTTGAGCAAAAATCAAACATCACTTTAATCTAAATGCTCTAATACCATTTATTGGGAATTCTGACCGGTAATGTTCTAATAGTTATCCATTGGAAACTAAACATACTAACACAATATTTAATGTGGTTCGACAAATCGCCTACATCTATGGGAGAAGTCAATATTATTAGAGATAGATAGAGAAAATGTTACAACACACATAGAGAAGGAGGATCATTTCACTCAAACTCAACTTTTATTGCTCTTACACACTGCTGCACATGGCAGCAGGGCTGCTACCCTTGGTAGCCACTCTTCTCTCTCTCTTCTTCTCTTCTCTTTACTCTATAACTCTTTCTTATTTTTGCTCTCAAATAATGCCTCTATTTATAGATAATAATAGCAGACAATAGGCTATAAATCATGGCACTAATGGTGGACAAAAATCATAAGACATGACATAAGTGATGGCATTAATTAAGTTTCTACTAATTAGAAGTGGGGTCTTGCTACACTAATGATAATTTCCTAACAATTAATTCATCGCGTTAAATGGTACAAAAAAGTTATTAATAATAAACAAATATTTAACTTAGATATTAAGCAATAAATACTTATAAGAAAAAAAATATGATATTGCACTGCATCATCCTATGTAATATCTTGATTTAATCATGTGTTAATATTTTAAAAAATTAAAAAAAAATTAAATTGAAACAAAATAACTTTCCAGCATGGCTTCTTTATGTTGGATCTAGTTTGTGGTGATCCGTTCAACTTAACATACTTATATACGATCAAATTATCCCTCTCAGAACTTTATCTTACTTCTAAAAAAATTTCAAGTTCTTGTCTTTTTAATTCTTATTAAACCCAAATATGCTCAAATATAAGACAATGAATTTTCTAATAGTAAAATTAAAAAAAAAAGTTAGAGAGAAAAATAAAAGTGTAATATTATATTGTATTGACCAATATCAACTTAGATTAATTTATAAATTTACAACTCAAATCATGAGCACAATATAATGAGTTAACCTAGTTGGGTCATTGCCATTTTCTCTTCCATCCGTTCTTTTCTTGGGTTCGTGTGAAATTAAAAATGGAACTATGTCAAAGAGTTATCAAAGAATTTGGGATTAAATATTGAAGGATTATATGATAATCAAGGATAAAATAAAAAAAAATTGATACGTATAATTTATGTGGTAATATCTGACGAAGCTCTTTAGATTAGAGAAGTGAGTGCAACTTCTTTTAAGTTTTAATGACACTCTTCATTAGCGTCTTAAAATCATATAAACAAAGTTTTTTTTAGGGCGGCGTATGGTGTTTAATAAGTTTCGAAATGGTTCTGATGATCCATTCTTATTTTCGTTTTGAAATGGTTCTGATGATCCATTCTTATTTTCTCATCCTTGTTCTTTTTTCTCCCCTCAATCTTATGCCTTATTTTCACCCTAGGTACCTCATAGTAAACTAACTTAGATTCAAATAACTAATCATGTATAAAATTGAAAAGAAAAGGAGTTAAGGGACTAAAACAAAATTGTAAAGACTACATGGGAAAAGAAAACGAGGAAAATACAAACCACCCATGATCAAATTAAAAAATTTATTATAAAATCTTGAGGGGTATAATTCAACTAATCAGGTCTTGAATTTGTTATTTAGAGATTACCAGTTCGAGTCCTACAAATTTAAGGACCATTAGAATTTTACATGGTTGTTAACTTCAGAGGTTGTAAGATTAATCAAGGCATGCACTAACTAATTAAAAAAACACTCATTATAAATTATTTATTCTTTTTTATAGCCTAAAGAATCAAATACTTACTTAATGAGAATTGATGGAATTAATACAATTTATCTTTATATTTTATATATAGATTTCATTTTATCTATATTACTCATCGATATTTTTTTTTAGCAATCCTTGTATAAGAAAGTAAAATACAACCTAGTTTTATAAAAAAAATCAAGTTAAATAAAAAAAATGGTCACATGGTGTTAATTTTTTCATATTTTTAATAATAAATTACTTGAGATTTGAGTTTTTATATAAAATTATTTTTTGTCTATTTTAACAAAAATAATTAAAAGAAAAACATATTAAAGAATTACTTCATATTTAACAAAAAAATATGATTGATGTTATTTTTTATCGGTAAATATATTAAAATAATATTTTTTTATTTTTTAAATTTATTTTTGAAATCAATGCAATAAAATAATTTTAAAATACTAAAAAATTAAATTTTAAAAAATTGTTTTAAAAAAATAAAAATATATAATTAAAAAGAAATACTAAACATGACCTAAATAAAATCAAAATATTAAGTTAATTTTATGAATAACAATAAAAATGAAAATAGAATAAGGACGCTTTTTCTAACCATATTCAGATCCTCTCCAGTCCCGATAAGAAAGTAATCGTGCTCTTTTTTTTATTGAAAGCTTTAAAATTTATTGATTGGGAATCTTATTTTGTTTAGAAGGAATTTAAACCATACATAAACTACTTATCGGTGCTAAATATTGAAAATTTTGTGTTTAATGCGTATATTTGTTTATAATAATGCTGCATTTTCATAAAATCACTGCATTGATGGAGTTTGTGCTTGGAATTTATTTATAGAAATGTTTAATCTTTATTTTTTAAAGCTGCGTTTGATTTCAGAAAGATGAAAAGGAGTGGATGTAATCAGTGCAATTTTTTCTCTGCTTACTGAAGGAGTTCTTAATCTATGACTGATTATGTATGGTTAATTTGAAATTTGTTGGGGATTTTCCTCTCGTAAGGTAAATGGGTTTTGTTCGATCTTCAGGTGGTAGATGCGAGTGCTCTTTCACTTAGAGTGATTTATCATTCGAAATTGGCACTGAAGTATGGGTTTGTTCAAGAAAAAAAACATGGAATTCCTTATTTCTTTACTTAATAGCGATAATGAAAGTGTTACTGGACTCGGTGCAAGTATCATTACACATTCTTGTGAGACAAGTGTGGAGCTACGGGCATTATGTGATGCTGGGGTTCTAGAAAGTTAATTAGCCTCCTTGAAGGTTCTATAAGTCAGAAAAGTGCTAGTTTAGAGTCGCTGGCTGCAGTCTTTAAGAACAATCCTGGGGTCATCTCTAAATTCACGGGACTTGAAAATGAAAGAGCTGTTGAAGGCTCTTTAAATCAGAGATATGCTAGTTTAGAATCTTTGACCACAGTTCTCAAGAACAATCCTGAAGTTGTCTCGAATTTTGTGGGACCAGAAAGTGGGAGTGTTTTAAGCTCTATAATTGAATTAACAAGGGATAGATATCCCCAGACAAGGTCGGTTGCCTGCATGTGCCTGATTGTCATAAGAATGCTTCTCCTAATTATATGCAAGTGACCATTCCACTGATGCCATTTTGCAACTTTTAATATACTTCTAGTTACACAGGTCTTGAACCAAGTGATTGATGCGCACCTATGTCTACATCTTGCGGATAGAATGTCATTCAGAACTTGTGTGCAGGTGACTTTAAGAATGAAATTCTTGTATAGAGCTCACTGATTCCTTGTTGGAAAGCCTTATATATGGTAATGATTATAGTTTCTGCAACTGTTAATTCCTTATGGTGATTTGGTCCGTTCAAGCATAATCCGGTATCACAATTGAATTTGCACCACAGACCCTGAGCCTTGTGTTCAAGAGCAAGCTTTGGGCCTTTTTCGGAATCTTGTTGATGGATGTATAAAGTCCATTGAGTATATGTTTGCTGAAGATGGTATTCTATTAGATGCTGTTGGAAGGCAATTACACAATGCTTCACACGAACTTGGAATACAGGTTAGAAGTCTTTTACACTCTCTCCTTAGATGTTGTTGGCAACTATTATTGTAACTTTTAAACTACTACATGGATGATGAGTATCCATGTAACATCCTTAAACTATAATGTCAAGAAATTTCACATATTTCTTTACGAATATCAAGTATTAAATAATATGTCTAAAATTATAGCATTTATTTTTATTTTTTTGAAAATTTCGGCAAAATTACCTCTATTTTTTGTCGATACCAAGTTATCGACAACACTTCTATCATATGTCATTACAACTTTCATCTTGATCCAATCATCCTAGATCACATCCCATTCATCAATCAATCATTCAATACTTCTACTTAATATATTCAAGTCTCGTAATATCAATTAATAAGTCAACATAAAATAATTACTAAAGCAAATTGAAAAATAAACAATTTCATCACTAAAGAGTAATAAATGTTAACTAACTATATATATGCATTTAGAATAAATGGATACAATATTAAAATTAAGAGTTATATTGTTTTAAAACATCTAATGTATTCTACTACTTTATATTATAATTCTGAAAATAATTTAGCCATACTAAAATCTATACATATATATAATACATCCATTAGATACTACACATCTTCTATTTGATTTTTACAACACAAAGGTTTTCAAGAAAATAAAAACATAAATATTACATTCCAAAATGATAATTCACGAGGATGGGTTAACCCAACCTGAATACCAGATAACCCGACCCATGTGATTGACTCGGATATAGATGATGTTAGCATGATGTAATTATGACGGTAGCATGCACAATTGGCATGCCGTGTTAGCTAAACACATCAACATTGTGGGACCCACCTGCCACATCATCAGATGCGAACCAAGCTGAGTTGGAGCCAAGCCGAGAGTCAAGGGATAGGATGCAGTGTAGCAGATTCTACGTACAACCAAATCTAAGATTGAATCTGGGTCATTCATCATGTTAGAATTGTTTTGATCAAATCTTAGCTGTTTGAAATGTGATTTGAACAATTTCAGTCTTGTTTCCAGCTAAGTTGATCGTTCCAAATGCAATGGTATGATCCGATCATTGAGATGTGGACCAAAAGTGGTGGTGGTGAATTATTAGGAGAGATTGCTTGATGAGGAGGCATCTAAAGGTCATCATGGTGGTCGTGGAGATGAAAAAGAAGAAAGTGCACATGTTTACCGAATTACATGTGCTGAATTGCTAAGTGGAGAAATTTTAATTGCCTTGAGGGAAGGAAAAATTAAGACACTCTGGACACCCGATCATATGGACGATTTGAGGTGGAGAGTCAAAATTGATGAAGACCAATCTTGACGAATCTAAACATTGGTAGTCTCGCCAGATGTTCAGAAATCAAGTATAAAACCAAGATATTTCAGATCACTTGTAAATGAAAGCCGCAACAAAGCTAGCAAATGGTAGTATATACAGAAAGACAGTATGATGGATAGATATGGCTTAAGAAGTTTTGGCTAGGAGATTGAGTTTTAAACGAGACCAGTGTAACCCCTCCAATCTTAAGTCCAAGATTAGACCATCTCATGACGACATGTAGAGACACCTCAAACAGAAGGTATGAGAATCAGGATATGAGTCCAAGATCAGATCGTCTCATGATGACAGACAAAAACACCTCAGGAGAAGGTGTGAGGGCCATAATAGGAGCCTAAGTTCAGAACGCCTCAGAGCTGATGTGATGGCTAGATATAAGTGGACAAGTGTATAGCTAATTAAGAGGCTATGATGAGTATGGAAACAAATGCAGAATTGATTTTCATGGATATTGCCCACATGCTAAAGATCAATGATCTAGATAATATTTGCTTTGGACAATAAGTGGATGACTTATGAAATATTAAAACACTACTACTAGGAATGAGCAGAGGGCATGCACAAGTTCCAGGAACAAGTTGACTCTTGTCAAGGTGGTGAGCTTAGTAATGACATTGTAATACTCAGAATATAACGATAGATATAGATCAACTTTTAATGGGCTGCCCCTATGATTAAAGGTAGAGAGCTACCTAAACTCTTAAGACTAAGAGCAGGAGACTCACGGAGAAGTAAGGCGTTGTTCCTAAGATGGAACAGAGGGCAGATGCAACTCCGGGATGAGTAAACTCTTGGAAAAGTGATGAGCTCGTGATCACATTAAAATACTCAATGACTGTCACACTGGGAATATCCGTTTGAGGAAGTGTTGTAAGCCTTGATAAATCACTATGAGCTAAGCATGATTGATATGCTTGAAGGGGAATGTTGTTTCAGAGACAAGTGTTAACACTCTTCTGATGAGATATGGTAAATCATATGGTTGAAGTGATGCTTTGGAGTGAGCAAAGGGGTGTTTAGGTGACTCTAGTGATTGAAAGGTGTGGCGAGTACCTGTAAACTTGGCTAAAGATGTTCTTGGAATGGTAAGCTTGGAAGAGCTGCAGAATGCAAGCATATGCTGAAGAAGTAAGAAGACAATTGCCTATATAAATGGTAAAGGGATTATTGTTGAGATGTTGCCATTAATAGACAACAACATTTGTAGTCTACCCTAAAAAGGAGGGATGTCATTGTCAAAAGGCTACAATGGTAGATGGGTAAATTATCAAACGAGTTGTACCAACCATTAACAAAATAGTGCAACTTATGGGCTGCCACTATTAGTGTCATAATTTATGATCAAATTGTCTTACCATTCATGTCTATAAATAGAGACACAAGTTAAAGAGCAAAATGAGAGTGTGTGTGGAGCCAAAGATGTGAGAAATATAGAAAAGAGTGGACTGCTAAAGACAGGAAGCAGTGGTTGTAATTGCAACACTGTAAAGAGAGAAAAGAGTGAGGTTGAGTTGTAAAAAGTAGATAATTCCTCCTCCTTTATTGCTGTAAATCTTGTTCTTTCCCTATATAATCAAATGACTTTTTCCGTGGATGTAAGTGATTTGCCAAACCATGTTAAATATTGTGTTAGTGTGTTTAGCTTCCAATGGGTAACTATCAAAACATCATTGGTCAGAATTCCCAGTAATTCTTGCATGTACATCCACCATATCTATTATTATGTGTTCTTACATTAATTTTTTTTAAATGTCATCACTGTTTCTGATTTATCAAAAATAAAACTGTAACTTGATGTTAAATTGAGGTGCTCTTTCCATATCCTTAGCATTGATCATGAAAAGAAACTTCTTGCAGGACTGTCACATATTAAAACTGTTGATCTTCTTGCTCGCTTTGCTAATCATCATAGTTGTTTCATATTTTAAGGCACATTAATGATTTTCCATTGAAGGTAGAGGCTGGCAAGCTTGAAGATTGCAAGTTCCATATTGAAAGTTTAGACATGCATAGTTAGAAATTAAACAATACAAGCTACTGTATTGTTGAAGGATAATGAACATACAGGAGCACAAACAACTTGCATTCTACATGGAATTTGTTGTTTATAAGAAAGTCTTGACATCATTGATAAAAACATGGCCGCATGAAGATATACCTTTCCTAATATTAGCAAGAAATCTCAGAGAGACCATGGTGCATTAGTTATTAAACATAAGGAGGTTAATTATCTTGCTGTGTGATGGTTGGTGGTCTTTTATGGTCAGCGGGTATTAATCTGTGAACTCTGGGGTGAGGGCAAATCCCAGCTCTATCATCCAGATGAACTTTTGCATTTCCATGTGAAGATTGTTGATATGCAAGTAAAAACGTCGTTTATCAAGTAAGCTCAGTAAAATGTCGGCTGGGGAAAAAAGACTGGTTTATATTAACAAAACATTTCTGACATGTGCCTACAACAATATGCTGGATGATTTAATTTGGTCTCTATGTTTAATCTGTCTATTTTTTGAATGATGAAGAGCATTGGGAAAGGTAACATATTGTGCAACTATTGTTTCTGCCAATCATGATTGAAACCATGCAAGAAAAAAGTGGGTCTCGGGGGAATTTACAGTACAATGCTGTTTATAGCTAATAGATAATTAAAATTCTTATCATCTAGGGAATGTATCTTCTTGGCAACGTGGAAATGATTTTCACAAGGAAATAGTTATGCAGCAACTTCTTGTCCGAGCAGATAATTGAGCCCAATCTTTCATGATCAAGATCTTGCAGTGTAGTGATAGCAGGTTACGTACAGCTGCTGTCTGGATGATAGTGAATCTCACATTCCCTTGTCCTAGTGCATTTGGTCGGCTAGTACACCTTAGTTTGGAACACCCTTTTACTCGTTTTAACTGTTTTACTAATGTTCCAGTACTATATTTTTTGCAGCTTTGTGTAACAACAGTGATGACTCAGTCTATGACTTTTGGTGATGGCCTCACATGATCATCCGTATGTATCCCTTGAATCTAGCACAAAGAGGAGAGATAAATGCAGAACAATCTTTGGTCTTGACCTTATTTTGTAAGATATGTCCAGCATTTCTCTGGAAGCTTGAAACATTATGCTGCAGTGAAGGTTGGTGCTCATTTAAATTTTGACTGGGTTGTGATGGTATATTTAATTGGCAAATTTCTCTCCTTTTCGATGGATTGTCATTGGACAAAATCTTTTATTTGTTTAAAATAGTTAATTTATTTTCCTTGGCACACAAGTAGCTCTGCTATAAAATTTACTTCGAGCAAATTGGTTGGACCGGTGTCAATTACTCGATTAATATAGCATCATATTGGCATGGATATACGCTCTTTATTCTCTACCTTTTCATTTAGTAGGTGAAGATGCTGGCATTAACCATAAACTATTTTGCTACATATTAGTCAATTTCCCTTCGAGTTTTAAATTGGAGATGGTGATTGCTAGTTACCTGAGCCATATTTCCTCCTTCTGTTCAATTCTTTCTTTTGCAGGTATCACATTACATTGCTTTCAGTTTCCCAGTTAGAGAGCAGTGTGGTTCTCGATTTGTGGGGGCAGAGATCCCTTTCCGTGATGCATTAATTTTTGTATGTAATCGATGATGCTTGTTGCAGCACATGGTATCAACTTGTAAATGAAACCACGACATCCATACATGCATACATATTTTTTTGTAAATTAAGGATATATGCTTGTTCCTCGACTCTTCTTCTGAAACATAATGACTTACTCTGTAAGTCCCTAAAAATTCATGTTTCGAAACCATGTCATGGAGTATGGTACGCGAAAACCCTTCAATTAATTTAAATCCTTCTTTTTTATGCTATCTAGACTGATGAGTAATGTCTATATACAATATATTTATCATGTCTTGTTAACAGGAGAAAAATAATAGTATCAAGAAGACAATCTTTGGAACCAAACGGGTTGATATCGAACCCAAGATAAACCTGCACTAAAAACACGACAGCAGACAGAAAGAGAAAACGAAGATAAATCTGCATCCCTTCAGCCAATCTTCTCTGTGTTTGTGTCATCTGATGGCCATATCACAGTCTCTTTGAGCCGTTCACGCATCAACTCCAAGTTATCATCAGAGATTTCTTTATATATCTCAGCATGATCACATTTCTACATCACAATAACAAGAAAATACCTTTTACATATTTATGTGCTCAATTTACATGTCAAAGCAAAAGCGGCAGTCAATTACCTTAATCCATTTCCCATACAAGTGAAGGCGTGTGACCATCACTCTTTCTGCAAGGTCCTGCTTCTCCTGTCAGTAAAAAGGATGAATCTATTCAAATGTTGTTGCTCTTACAATTCTATCCTCTATTTACCTGTCTTTGCTAAAATACATTATTCGTTCTAATGACCATGTGAAAACTACACTTGTTTGCTGAGAAAAATTGAGCGAAAAAAGCACATATATCTTGCATCTTGTGCACTAAAAGGATGTTATAAGTAAGGCAAGTGATCAATTAAGCTAGTTAAGGGAAAATCCGCGTAGCGTCAAAATCTGGGGAAACTATTGAAGCAGTTTCATGGTAATCAAGTTCCACGTAAAGGCTTACAAAAAGACTACCTTCCCGAGAGCGCGAAGGAAACGCTTGCCATCTCCTGGCTTATTATGCGCAACAAAACTGCCAAAATATAGAAATAAGCAAACTCAATAGGAAAAAAGGAATAGAACAATCAATAATCAGAATTGAAAGATAGTCCAGCATGCACTTGATGATGTTGAAGTTATTGTAAAAAAATTATCTAACTTAATAGCTTAAACGGTTAAGTATTTTTCTCTAACGCACTTGAAATTTACACATACTCGTATTATGTTGTACTTGATTTTTATCAAATAAATAAGAATGGTAAGATTTAAACTCGTGAATACTTACTCATCATAACTCTGATATTATATCAAATAAGCATCTCAACCTAATAATTTAAATTATTAGATAATGTTTTAAAATATGATTTATTGTTATCTACTGGTTATAATGTTTTCATGTCAAAAGACAACCTGCATCTACAGTTAGGATATCTAGAAGTTCTTGTCATTTATTCCAAAATTACCAGTGTTATAAATCTATATGTCTCTTGTGTATTACTTTCAGTGCTTAAGTTTTCATGGATGAGAAACATGGGTGCCGGTGCTGCCTTTTTGACGTGAGATTCTTAACTTACAGAGCTTAAAAGCTATTTAAATCGCATCCATTCCATTTAAAAATAACCAAATGTGCGAAAAGGTGTTTGGTTGGAAAAATAAAGGAAAACAAAGCGTAAATAAATAAGAAAGTTACGAGGAGAAGCATTAGTCTTGGCCCAGTGAAGACTCCACTTACTTATAAAACCATGTATATTGCGTTGGATTCATCTCATAGAGCTGGTTAAGCACAGTCCTTACAGCTTTGTATGTGAAATAATTGAGTAGTTGCTGCAGGCAGGAGCATCTTGATCAGCATAAATGAAAATTACAAAGCACTATCATTAACGTAGGCATGTCAATAGTTATCAATGTTCTTGAAATACATGGTCAGATAACTTTTATTTCAAAGAACAGGAAAATTTTATATCACACAATCCAACAGTAACTGTAACTGTATATCCCATGCTTCCAGAAGCAAATCAAAGAGGGAATTGAGATACGTACTACGGTTCTGTAAAAATTTATCAATCTAAGCTTATGATTTATAAACGATCATTTGATTTGATATCCATTATGTTATTCAGTTGATAGCTACGTTTACTATTTGTATAGTAGCAACTACTAGCAAAAGGAAATGTTTGTGACACCATGTTTAATTAGCTAATAATTTATGCAGCCATAGTCTTCTGCATTCAGCATATTAATTTCCTGTGAGTTGCATCCCTTTTCCTAATTTAACTTGATGAGTTTTATGTAAGTAGGCTTTACGCTTCAAGACATTGTAACAGCAGCATATTTGGAACACAGACATTGATTCATGATTATTGACATCTGAGTTTCATCATCTACAGGCCAAAATAGAGGAGGAGGGGGAGGGGGGGCTAATAAATGCATCAAACAACAATAAAAGCTTACCGCTTTGACATCCTCAAAACTATCCTCATATTGCCCCGCCAACTCGCTGACAATCACAAGTCCCCTATCCTTTCTCTGTTTCCTTGAGCTCTTACTAACGATTCCTGAAATAGCTTTTGATGAGAGCCTCCAATCATGCCATGAGTCCACGAAAGAACTCCCCAGTTCCAATGATCCTGGCCTTGTTAACTGCTTTCTCTTCATTGAACTCCTCTGCAAAGCCAATTCTCCACTGTTCTTAAGACCAATATTAGTTGTGGGCAGCGAATCCAAACACAAACATGGACTAGTGTGTGGATCCACCACAGATGAGCCCATTACAGATAAAGCTCCCACCATTTCTCTCCGTCGAATCTCAGCTCAAGGGAATCCTTCAGAAGTATATCAATACCCTAATCAAGATTATGGCTGAGCTTGATATTCTTTGGTGTTAATGTATAAAATACAAAGATACCCAATAACAAAAATGAAGAAAGTGCGAATGGGTATCCAATAAAATAGGAGATACACGTTTGTAGTCAAAGATTCATGAACGGAAAGAGAATTAGGAGGGTGCTTGAAGAGAGAGAGGTATAATGGCGCTAGTAAAGTGTGAAGGATGTAAAAGGCGTGTTCTTTAGAAGGTGTGACAAGTCTTGACCAAACAAAATTTTGAGGTCCAAAATTCTCCAAGCCAGAAGGGACGAGGGGTTAACACGTTTAAAAATCAAAGTTTTACAGCTTCTTCTCTTGATTTCCAGAGTCTAACCAAAGTACATGGACAGATTTTCTCTAATTTGGTGGCTCCCCTGTTCCACGTGTTGTTGGCGTATATGAACGTGTTAAAGTGAACAAGAAGCCTTGCATAGTTCATACCGTTTAGGCTAGAGAGTTTCAAACGGTAACTCTATCTATGCCCACGCTCAACATTACAACGTGGAAGGGAGTCGCCGGACACTCCGAGTCACCGATGGAAATTGGAAACTAGCGGAAGCAAAAGAGTTAAACGAAGACAGGTGTTATTTTCGAGAATTACGTGGTCCCGACCAAACCATAGACTTGTGGACAGTGAAAGGATAGAGTTAGCGTGCGCATGCTTGTGAGATGCTCCGCGCTTGAACAGTCACACTCTTAACAAGAGCTTGTAGAAGTTACGGGGAAAATATCTTTCAATTCAATTCATCAACATTGTGCGAAAAATATGGCTGTTTGTTTTCGAGAATAGAGCTTGACAGAAAATAATGATGCCTTGCGGTTTTATTAGCACACGAAAAGAAACCTATTGGGTGATTAAACCAACATGGTGATGAACTTTATGAAGTCTCGTGGCGTCTCATAGAGAGCAGGAATTAATTAAAAGCGGTGCTCATGTTTGGGAGGCGAGAGAGAAAATGACAGGCAGGAGATAAAATTTGAATGGGGGCATTTCACATGGTTTAAGCAAGTAGTAACCAGTAAGGACGCAGCTAGACTTGGACTTTTCTATGCAGGCAGAGAAGGGAATGGGAATGCTAGTATCTATTATTTGTTATTATTTATTAATAAATAAAAAATAAAATAATTAATATATATATATATATGTATGAATTTTGTGTGTGCATTAAATGATGAAATGATAGATGTTATTTATATATTTGTGTTTTATATTAATATTAAGATATGCAAGCGCGTGAGAATACTCCTGTGTTCCTGAACCGTGTAAGCAATAAAGAGGTTCTGTTCTGTTCTGTTCTGTCTGAAACTTGCAACTCTGTCTTGGTAATAAAGCTAAAAGCTAGGCTATAGCTCATACATGTCTACGGCGACATGGTCAAGCAGACGTAAAGTCCTAAATCCGTAAATCGTATGCACACGTCCACCGTCCACCGTCCACCGTCCACGCCAGTGCTATACCAGACCACCCGACGCTCTGCGCGTGAGATTGGTTGGGCTTGATTTCTTAGCCTTTGGTTCAAAATGGGCTCTCAACCCATGCTCACTTGTTAAGCCCAGATCAAGCAAGCGAGCAGCTCAAGTATACATTAATTAACTATAAGCTAAAGAGAAAGGGATTTAACTGTACCCTCTTACTATTTATTAGAACAGGTACTGTGCTTTTTTTCTTTTTCTTTTTCTTTTGGTTTCTTTTTTTTATTATTTTTTAATAGTATATTTATTTTTTATTAAACTATCACACGCTCGTTACATAAATCACAGTTTAACAGGTTAATTTAATTTAGTAAGTTAATTTAGTTGATTTTGTAGTTTTTTAATTATTTTTTAAAAAATTTATCATTTAATATTAAATTAATTGAAAATTAGACTTTATAACTTGTTTTGTTAAATTTCTATTATGATATTTCAACGTCATGGCTTAAGAATAGTGTTTAAATCGTTAAATCGAGTAGGCTCAAGTTGTTTTTTGTGTCTTATTTTTAAATTTTATTATTCAACATTGATTTAGTAAAGAATTGAGTTTCATAATATATTTTGATTTATTTTTTATAAGAATATCTTAATCTTATAATTAAGGTTGTTAACTTTAACATTTTAATCACGATTAAATCATGTTATTTTTTATTTTCTTTTTTATAACCGAATCGTGAATTAACAGGTTAACTCTAGTTGCTTTTTAATTTTTTTAATTAATTTTTTTTTAATTTTTTAAATTTAATATTAGTTGATTAAGAATTATACTTTATAATTTATTTTAATTTATTTTCTATCGGTTATTATAGTCTCATAATCTAAGTTAACCCAGGTAAATTCAATATATTATTACCTTAACATTAAAAAAATCTATTTTGATTTTTTTAGTTAAACTATATTTTAGGGTTATATCAAGTGAACCATCTTTCAATTTAATTTTTTTATAAAAAAATTATTAATAATATCTAAATATTTTTTATATTCAAGAAAAATCTAACTTAATTAACAGCATAGCAGGGATAAAAGATATAGTCCTCCTGTCCTGTTTGCATAGAAAAAGCTAGGTTCCAGTCTCAACTTCTCTTGATTTTAATTTTAATTTTAATTTTCCCCTGTTTTTAGTAACAGGGGGTGGTTGGATCATGGACGGGATGGGCTTTCAGGCTTCAGCTTCAACTCAGGGCTGGCAATGGCATGCTGGCATCCCCTTCCTGTTTCGCGTTCCATAAACATCTGAAGAAATTTTATGCCATTATCAAGTTAAAATCTTCATATAATCAATAATAATATTGATAAATAAAAAAAAGTATATAGTCTGTAAATAAAATGTCTTCTTTAATTGTACCCCGTCCCTTCTGAATTTTAGGCGTGACCAATCAAATTTTTTAATTTTTTTTTTAATTTTTCTAACCAGAAATATATTCTATAAAAAATCTTATTTTTGACACATAGATAAATAATAAAACGACGCCGTTGGCAGTGGGATAATGGTTAACACTAAACACATCATTCCAGCATCAGTTCCCCTAGCAAAACTAAAAAAGCCTTTCGGGGCCTAGACAGCTTCAGTTTCCAGCAAGAAGAAAGGACAACCCGAGCAAAAGAAGCAATTTCACACTTCCAAGCTAAGCTCGCACGCACGCACTTATTCAAGAGAATCGAAAAGGAAATGTTCTATAGAGGGTACGTGCGTGATTTTCCCAATTCAAAACCTTTTTTTCTTTTTCTCTCTCCAATCCAATCTTCCTTCTAAACGATTTCCTTCTATTTCTTCTGGTTTGTTAATTGGTTCTCGTAATTGGGTTTTTGTTATTTATTTTCTTTATGCCGTTAATTTCTTAATTTTCTGCTGAAGAGGCTGTTAATCTTTTGCTTATATCCAGAGGCTATGATGGTGCTTTTTGTTTTGTTGCCTAGCTTGCTGTATCTTTGATTATATTATCTGGGTGTGCTTTTTTCTTGTTTAATTTGATCTCGAGCTCTTAAAAAATTAACCATTCTGTAACTGTAGCTCTTTAGAGATGTTTACAGAAAGAAAATGATTATATTAGGAACGCAAAAGGCTGGTTTTTATTATTAATCTATGATTTAGTGATTGATGGTGGGGCAGAAGGCGGTGTCTTATTGAAATGGTTGGCCTTTTAGTATTTTGGATATACTTTGCTCAGATATATTTTCAACTATTAAAATGGGTGAATAAATCCACCTATCGATTCTTGTGAAATATTGAGGGCCGCTGTAATTTATAACATGCCGTTACTTGTACTAGTTTGGCTAATTTGATGCTTTCGAGAGGGAAGGGATTTAACTACAAGTAGGCTAAGATGGTGTCTTACAAATTTATTATTTTGATCAGTGAGGTTGAAATGGATCAAATGAATATATAGACTTATGCAGGCTGTTGTAAACAAAAGGAAGTGATATTAGAACTGCGAAATAGCATCATCTCATAATATCCTAAAGTTACATTTTGATGTTAGTTATTGTGATGTTTTAATATTTGTGAGACACCAATTATGAAATCACTGAAAGCTGGTGGCCTGGGGTTAAGATTTCACTTCCTACTTTGAAGTGACTTGCTGGGTAGAGGTTGTGAGCCTGTATCTATGATTGGAAGGCTCATTTCCACTGATCCTTTTCATGGGAATGAGGACAGAGTATGACTTAGCTCAACTTGATAGAATACCCGGGGGGCAGCTACATCATAGTGTGTTGCCTCAACCAACCACGGTATCTTACCTGCTTGAAGAAACTAAAAAAAAGGAGAGTGAGAGGGGGGGCACAAGAGCTTTACGCAAAATTTCAATACACACAAGGGGTGACCAAGCTTTGTTTAGAAAAACATATTTTAAGCAAATATTGCTTTTAGAAACACCCCCCCCCCACCCCCCAGAAAAAAAAAAGGAAAGTGAAAAAAGAAGAAAAAAACAGTTGTGCTTTTAAAGAACAACAATACTAAACAGGCATTTAGTAGTCCATTTTATTTTGTCGAGTATTCACCATCAAGGATGTAAAATATCCTTTTAAAAAAAAAAAACAAGGAAAAATGTGTTTGTATGACAATTTAAATCTACAAATCATGCAAGTTCAACCTAGCACATACAACTCACCGTTGCATTTCCAATGGACTTGAGATTCTAATTTATGTGCATCCCTCTATTTAAAGGGAGGTTGTAGACCATACTTTTTTTTTATTTCCTATCTTGCTTGATTTCTTATTCTTTTGGTAGGTCAAGTAGAACATAGTTCAATCATATAGTAATTTTGGATTCCCAGACAGCTTAAGGATGAGAATCCAGTTAGTTTATTTGGGGGCACTAGTCTAAGCTTATGGATAGAATAAATGCTAACATGCAAGGAAATGAGTAAGATTTGGGAGTGGAGTATCTTTTAGTGGAACCATGAATTTGAAACCTATCATGTGGTTTCTAAGGTAAGTTTAGGTCCTAAAAGTCATAATTTCAGATTTCTAATTGAAGGTTTCCAATAATTTTATTGTCCAGTAACTTGATCTCACTCGCTTCTTGAGAAGCTAAACCAAGCTCTTCTAATTGTTCATGCATCTCATTGTTTCGTCAATCCTCAGACAGCCCAAATTGGTAATATGCCCATTAGTTAAAAAAGAACATTAATAAGCATGTTCCACTTAAAAATTCTAATTGGTTTTCTTGAAGAAAATTTAAACTGAGGCTGACCGAGTTGATAAGCACTAGAGATGTTCTGAATGCATTAAGACCAGCAAACAAATCATTCAGTTACACTGAGACGACATAAATAACTTTGAACTTTTTAGCATCTGGAATTCTTGTGTTCATTCAAGGCTCTGGGATGCCAATTTTATTTCTTGCCTTGGAATTTTTTATATATGTGTGTGTTTTTAATTTTTCTTAATTGATAAAAGAATATCAACCTTTAAGGAACTAAAGCATAAATTTCTGGTGATATTCTTGGATGTATTTGAACATAATTGTGCATGATTCTGTACATATAGTATTCGGGAGCTTCCTATGTGATTTGCCTATTTGATTATTTGTTTTTTAAATTGAAGTAGATATCCTGACGGTCCTGATGGACGTGAAATGGGTGCAAAACGTCAGCGGATGGTTGATCAGGGTCCTTCATTCTATGGTAATTCCCCTGGTTCAAGTTTTATGTACAACACACCTCCCTATGGATATGTTAGCCAGCCACCTCCGCCTTTCCCTGTTGTCCGCCTTCGTGGTCTTCCTTTTGACTGCACAGAAACTGATGTGGCCGAGTTCTTTCGTGGTTTGGACATAGTTGATGTTCTTTTTGTTCACAAGGGTGGCAAGTTCACTGGTGAAGCTTTTTGTGTTTTGGGGTATCCTCTTCAAGTTGATTTTGCACTTCAAAAGAACAGGCAGAACATGGGCAGGAGATATGTTGAGGTTTTTCGGAGCAAGAGGCAGGATTATTACAAAGCAATAGCAAATGAAGTTTCAGAATCTCGTGGTTCACCACGACGAAATATCTCTAGGGCTAAATCCTACGATGAGGGAAAGGACTTAGCCGAACATACAGGGGTATTACGATTGAGGGGGCTGCCATTTTCAGCTGGCAAGGATGACATCATGGAATTCTTTAAAGATTTTGTTTTATCTGAAGATTCGCTTCATATTACGATGAATTCAGAGGGTAGGCCAACTGGGGAAGCCTTTGTGGAGTTTGCAAATGCAGAAGATTCTAAAGCAGCGATGGCCAAAGATAGGATGACTCTTGGGAGTCGTTATATAGAGCTGTTTCCCTCATCAATCGAGGAGTTGGATGAAGCAGTTTCAAGAGGCCGGTGACTCATTCTTATTATACATCTGCTTATATCCGGTATTTTGTACAAGAAATCTTTAACCTTGCCTTGTTGTTTTAAATTTTGCTTTACAAGTTTTTCCCTAATAAGACTACATGTTTGTTGTTTTGAGCTGTTTATCTTAGGATTCCACTTATGAATATATTCATATCTAGTCAGATTGGTATTCTAATATCGTGTATTGATCAAGCGTGTAACTTCATTGGTTTTTAAAGCTTTTGATACCACCTTTGAAGAAGACTGGTTTAAAGGAGGTTTCCTAGGAAAATATAGGTGCTATTTTGAAGGGCTGATGACTATTCTTCCAGAGTGTGATTGGCTATTCCAAAAACGGTGTGGATTGTGGAATTTGTTGGAATATGGCTACATCAATTGCATTTCAGTGCTGTGATTCTCGGTACAAGTTTCCTTTTTCTTATTGCATGTCTTGTAGAAGTGAAGAAAGGCAGCATATCATTGTCACTGGAGAATTCAACTCTTGCTTTTACTGTCATAATTGTTGCATGTCAAGTAATGTATTTAATTTCTTGCACCTGTTTCCTGTAGCAAATATTCTAGTTGATGAATAGGTTTTTCTCTCGTCGATTTGACTTGAAGTACCAGTTTCCTGAGATCTAACCCGAGATTTCAACACGCATAAAAGCACGTCCAGACTCTGGACTGCATGGACCTCTTTGGATCAAGATATATGTATTTGTTCCGTGACAGATAAAACTAAAACTCCCTTCTCTTTTAACCATCCAAACTTGCATCGTTTATTTCCACTCCTTCATAATCCCGCTGTTTAATTCTTAGCACGTACTCCTTACTCGTGTGAGCTAGGAACTGGAAAAGGAGTGGAAATTACATGCACAGGGACCGAGGCGCCACTTTTGGCTGAGCGATTCACGGCAATAATTTTTGCTGCTTTTGAGAGGATATGAAGGATAAAGCAAAACCTGGATTTCGACGCTAAAAGGGTACTTTCTTGGTGCTAAAACCGAGTAATCCTCCTTGACAGGCAAAAAATATACTGCCAACGTCCAATCAGGCTCCAAAAGATTCGTGTATTGAAACTTGGGCAGCCAGGAGAGAATGCCATGCAGAGAAGATGACAGAAATGTGGAAACAAGCTCCTCGTCCTGGCTATATTCAAAGCAAATTCTTAATCTAAAGTGGTATTTGTTACCTAATTTTGGACCTGATGCATTCTCGATATAAAACCAAGTACTAGTTTGTTTAAACCAATGCACGAGCTACATGATTCGAGTGTTCTTCCCCATCTTTAATTTATCCACATCTTGAAAGTTAATAGAACTTATCCTCCTTTTGTTTTGAGAAGAATCAAACTCAAAGGCTAGTTTTTTTTTTTTCTGGTAAAACTAGCTAAGAAGCTATATAATGAAACACCTGACAATGGAGGTAAGAATCATGAATTCAAGCTTCATAAATTCGATTGTCTGTAATTGATGAGGGGTAATTATGGGAATTTCCCTAATTGTCTGTCCTTGTTTTTATCAGATTTTCACTGTTTCATTCCTTGCGAGAAAACTTGTATTTTCACCGGCAATCAGCAGGACATTTCACTGCTATAGCTCCAGTCTGATTCTGCGTTTTGTATTCAAGTGCCGTTGGCCGGAAATCCGGACAGAGAGCAGTAAAAATTACATAGGATTCTATTGTCAAGGAGTAGTTGTGTGCGTGCGTGTATCTGAATATACAAACAAAACTTCTACTTGAATTATGTTATAAACTAATCAACTCATGCTTAATTAATTAAAAGAAGGAAAAAAAAAAAAGCATGACACGATGAATCGGTGAACAGATCACAGGTTAATCACATGGACGAAACTACATATTTTACTCCCATATATATCTCCCAGAATATCTTATTTTATCAATTTCTAGATTGAAATTTAAGATATTTTTATTAAGTATATGTTTGTTTTTATATTTTTTTAAATTATTTTATATCGTTTTAGTGTATTAAGGTTAAAAATAAATTTAAAAAAATAAAAAAATATATTATTTTAATATAAATTCCAACAAAAAAATATTTTGAAAAACTATCACTACCTAATAATATATTAAGATTACATGAATGAATAAAAGAGGCAAATTTAGATTGAACTACAACAAGTAGAATTGAAAACAAAAGAGATTCCATTGACCCATCTGATTTAAGATAAGCTCAAGCATTATAATCTGTTTCCTTCTCGCACCAATAATTAAAAAAAAAAAAAAGAGTAAAATTGTGTCTTTCAATAAACAATAATGGCATGAAACTTTGAAAAACATGGATAAGTTTGCCACGTGCACAACAATTAGTAGGCTCTTTTTTAGGATCCCCTGGAGAGGGTCTGAAAATGTTTTTTTCCCCTTACAAAACGCCAAAAAAGAGAGAATCAGTGAATATAAAAAAAGGTCTGAGCCAGGTGAGTTAGCTAAGATCTAGCTAGCTAGCTAGCTCAGGAGGGCTGTGCCTATGAGGGCACACTACTAAACAGTGCCTCGGCTTTGTCCTCTCTTGACCTCCACCCATGAAATCTTTGTCAAGTGAAGAAGGCAGGAGGTCACAAGATATCTTATCCTACATGCTGCTGCTAGTAGAGTGGTAGCTGTTGTAGCAGACAAATTGTGAGTGAATAAACTAAATTCAGGAATCTGAACCATCAACTGTTCATGTCTTGCTCTTGCTATTCTTCTTGTTGTGCAATCCTAGGATGCACGAAAGTTTCCAACTACTCCTTTCTCCGTCTCTTTTTTTTTTTTTTTACACTAATCTTTCTAATTATTAAGGGCCGGGGCAGTCTCCGGATTTAATCAATTTAGGGTAAGAAGGTTTTAGATTATTGGAGTGATATCCTAAAATTCTGATTAATTAAACATTCATGTTCATACTTTCTTGCCCATAAAATACAAATAAGTTATTAGAAGTCTTGATGCCTATAAAATATGCCCATAAAATACAAATAAGTTATTAAAAGTCTTGATACCTATAAAAAAGCTTTATTAATAAAAAATTTTAGATTATTGGGATGATATCTTCAAAATTTTGATGTTTAAATAATAATTAATTAAATATTTATATCTATATTTTCTTTTTCTTAGTCCAGAAAATATAAATATTAGTAAAAATTTTGATATTTATAAAATATTTTTTTTAGTGAGATTGAAGAACTATGTCATGATAAATTCAGTAATTTTAAATAAAAAAACTTTAAATTCTAAAAATATAAGTTTCTATTCTTATTTTGTATGATTTGATTTATGCTCTAAAATATAGTAATTTATCAAACTTATATTGCTTTAAATTAATTTACATTTTAAATCTAAGTATATTAAATTTAATGTAGCCTGGGACTAGGTTCAAAAATATTTCGAACCCATGTTACCGTGTTGTCTTGGGTTTTCATAGATGTAAATATTAAATATTT